GATTTGGTTGACGTTAATTGTTACTTGTGTATTACTCAGGTGTTCACATTCTATTCGTAAGTATTGTTTTTTTAAATCTCAACTGTGACATGATAAATTATGTTTCAGGGAAGAATGTACACATTGCGAGAGTTACATAGCCCATATAAAGCATAAATATTAAACATTACTATACATGGTATAGTAGCAAAAAGTTCTTTCTAATAATGAATACTTATCGACTTTTTTAAAAACAAAACTGCAAGTAGCTAAGAGATAAGCCCATTTTATATGAAAGAATACAATAACATCAAAACGTTCCATTATATCAGATTTTTGCTTGGTTGCAATTTTAATATGCAAGGGTATTTTTACCAGAATTTTGAACACCTGGACTACTTAGACACATGTTCTGGTCCTGGCCAGGACTCTATTTATTCGCATTCTGCTGAGCAAAGTTATTTCCATTTGCCATTCGCCTTTGATAATTAATAACTGTAAATAATGTATTTGAAAGGTTGATAGAATAAGAGAATTATGCAAGAATGTTTATTGTATAATACAAAAAGTGCATTCATAGTTTAATCATCAGGTAGACTTGGAAATAATAAATGAATAAAAATGAGACAAAAATAACTTATCTCTTTAAATGTTCTTCAAAGGCCAAGAGAGGCCAATGTGAGAATTAATAATATGGAATTAAGAAATAGCCATTTTGCAAAGGTATTGTGGACAGGAACCCCCCCCCCCCCCCGATTTTTTCCTATGGTACACATGATGAATAAATGCCATAAATATAATTTGTGAAAAAATGTCCAACAAGCCCCAGGGTTGAATATCGGTGGGGGGGGGCTGTCCACAAGTACCTGTGACATTTTGTTAATAGTTTGGATGGTATAAGTGATAAATGGGGGAGAAATAGATACTAGACCAATTATTTTGTTGATCTTATCATACTCTTTTTCTTGCTTTTGGGCAACAAAGCTTCATTTAGCAGTTTATGGATCCTCTAAATTGTTGTATTGTACTCAGGTGACCGTTAAGGCCCTTGTGCCTCTTGTTATCGACTTATGTCCGTCGCGACCCAAATTTCGCGAGCCAATAATAAAAGAAAAAATGAATCAATAAAACGTGGGAAAGTTTGGTAATATATTTTTTTCCTATGAAATTCCTACATATAATTTTCCCATCCGTCCTTTCTTTCTGGTCTAGTGGCTCTTGAGAAGAATTGTTTTAGAAGATTTTTGCTTTATATTCTCAAGGAAAACTTTAATCTTCTATTGTGACCCCACGCACCAGAAACTATGATTTTAAAAAATTAGAACTATACTATGTTGGAAAGTTCACACATAAGTTTCATATTTTCTAACCAAGTTGTTCTTGATAAGAGATTTTTTCATCCCCCCTTCATATTCCCATGTAAAACTTGATCTCCTTATGTAGCGGGGGTCATGATTTGAATAATTTAGACTCTACAGCAGTTGGCCATTAATATGTTCCCGAAATGGCTGACGTTCTTCTTAGATTTAGGGAGCCGACTGGGGTTTTATTGTGTGAAAACTACTATAGAGAAACTCTTTAGTTTTATACCATATGTACCTTACATTGACTTCAGTATACATGCCAAGTTCAGAGAAAATCTACCATCTAGTTATTTTTAGGGACCATATCAAAAGACAGGTACATTTAGTATAGGATTATGTAGGAGAATACTATTTTTTCGCATTTTGGAGCAAATTATACAAATGCTACTTTAGACTTTTTGCTCATATTATATTATGTGATGAGTAATATTATATTGTACATTTTATGCAGGAAACACAAAATTCTACCTTCTGATTTCCAGAGGGGGTATCTCAAAATGTCAAAATTCTTAATATTTTCTTGTTTTTAAGGAGTACTACAAAAGATGACAGATACCACATATTTATATTTAAAAAATAGTCAAAATGATTGTGAGATTTTCGATTTCCTATGTTTAAAATTTTAAGAGCATCTATTTGATACTTTTTATTTTATGGCATAATTAATGACCAATCTTAAAGAACTTCGGTTATTTATAACGTCAAAACACATTATCACGACGTCTATCTACCCATCATTTGAAAAATCGTTTTAATTAGATTTTTGACCTGAGATTTCTAAATTTTGTGAATTTTAATTAATTATGTAAAAATAGTTGCTTTAAAAGAGTAAATACACTTTATTTTACTATGCTGCGCGAAGTATTGCGCAATAAAACCCCCAGTCGGCCTCCTTAATTGTAAATTACTGCAAAAAATAACCTTGTATGACTAGAACTTTGTTATGTGTCCCTTGTCTTTCAAAACATTCCTAATTCGTTGAAGAAACTTCTTATATAGTGAAAAGGTAGAGAGGGCCAGATTTCCTGAACAATGCGCTCCAGGTTTTCTTTGTTTTTAATATCATACTAGATAAAATCCCGCGCAAGCGCGGGGAATTGAATTTATACCACTACCGACAGAAAATATATTGTAGTTTCTACTGACAGCCTACATGCTTATATCAGGAAAAATACTTTGTTCAAAATCCCGCATGAAGTAGATGTACGTCTCCACCCCCACCCCAGCCCCCTTTTTGTAAAAATTTGAAAAAAATTACAGTTTCATTAATTGACGTTTATTGTGAAATCTGTTATACTATGTTTTGGATATTGTACTTCAGATGTTCCTTTTTCTTTTCCGTCAAGGATAATAGCAGCCAATATGCACATTTTACTCATAAATTGATTTTTTGGGGGGTGGGGTAAAATTTCACAGGTACTTGCGTCTTGGTTTATAAATATGTGTGTATATACTTTATTGATATGTAAAAGATGTACTTAACTTTTTTTAACATATCAATAAGGTACATACATATTTATAAACCAAAACCCAAGTACCTGTTTAAAAATTAGCTTTTAACGCTATATGAATAGGCCGAGTATTTCATACAAAAGACTGTATATATTCAGAAAAAAAAACAGAAATGTATTTAATAAAGCAAAAAATTTTACAACTTTAAATGTATTTGAACAATACCTTATTCATTAATAATCTATTTTCATGTAAGCAAGTTTATTACGAAGTACAAATTGTACTACGATGCTCTCTGTAAGGAATATAAACAAATTTTACCGATAAATTTATTAGGAAAACCTGCTACATATATGTAATAGTCTTTCGATATATAAATATGTTCACAACTTTAAGTGTTATCAATGAGTTACCATTATTTCAATGACCATTTACACAAAATCTTTTTTTATGTTCATGCAGTTACAATGTATAATCGCCTTTCATTTTTTCATTAATCATTTTTCATTTTAACATCGGGCTCGATGATATGTGATGTTCTAGAAGCTTCCGTCAATATTAAGATCGATGAATGACGAAAATAATTTGCAAATTTCCCTTTTTAATCGGTTATCACAACTTATTTCTTTTATATCAATCAAATCAAGTTTTGATTGAATAATTCAGTGATGACGTTTTATGAAATAAATAAACAATTGCTTGTTGTCAGTTTTATTAAAAATTGCCAGTAACTTAGATCCGCCAACCGGAAACGCCACCGTACTCACGATTTTGCTATTTCATGGTTGTTTATAGAAAATGAAAGTAGACTTTTAATTTAATGTACAATACTTACTATGCGAGTGAAATCTAAATATAGTTTACGGACATTATCTTGTATGTAGTGTATTGTTGGAGGAGTAATTAAGAACTCTGGTGCACCCGCTTCGGAGTTTATTGGCAAAATTTATTAATTTATAAGTATAGATAAGCGTCTCTTAAATCTCTCCAAACATTTTCTATTACATTAACCGCTGATTAATGTCTAGGCTCTGAGCAGGCCATGGTAGTCCTGGAATACTGTTCACCATTTTCCAGTTGTTACATGCCCTAGAAACATAGCAAGGGGTATACTCCTGAAAAATCCAGGCACCATTTCCGAAGTTTATGGCAACGACAGACCACAAATTGTTGTAAGAGTTTCAATGTAAACATTTGAGTTCATATTTCCATTTATAGTACGGAAGCGTATTGGTGCCTTGTTATATTTTTTAAAGTTCTTAATTCCAACTTTAAAGTTGTCTTTTCGACTTAAACGTCAGAAATTTTAGCGAGGATTCAATTTTGGCATTTTAAGCGAGGTTGTTGAGATCGCTAAAATTTGATATCGCTTATAATTCATTCCACTTTGCAGGCTATCATTATCTTTCTATGTATCAAAAAAAAAATTAAGATTACTTTTTCGAAAATGAAATATCAAATTTCTAGGAAAATTTGCGAAAACGGAAATATATTCAGGACGCTTATTTCCAAACCTCTATCAGTATGTATACTTTATTTGTGCATGGCTGGGAGAAAAAAAAAGGAATGTGGAATTGCTATGAAGTTTTTTTTTTTTCATGTCAGAATCTCAAAGCGATTGGAGAAAGTCGGATATTATAGGAACATACTTTTGGCCAATTACTGTACAATGTGTCAGGAAGCTAACGCGTGTTTCATTTTTTCTCGTCCTGTAGTTTTTAAAGCAGATTTTAAAAGATTTTTTCCTAAATATTTCACATTTTGTTCCCTTATTTGGTCCACATCCTACCCGCTGGTTTGAACAATTTAGAATGTATACTATGTCAGAAAGCTCGCAAATAAGTTTCATCTTTTGTGACCCGGTGGTCTATCATAAGAAAATTTTAAATAATCTCACCATAGTTCTCCTTTTATTGCTTTCCTCCTCATCGAGGGCTTTTGGACCTTCATTTTAACAATTTTGAATCCCCCACAACCAAGGGTGCCATGTGCCAAGACAAGCTTAATATGGCTCAGCGAACCTTGAGAAGTCAACAATGTAAAAAAAAAAAACTTACAGTCAGGCAGACGGACAACCAACTATGAGAAAAATCCGCTCAGGCGAGAAAACAAAATTTACAATTTATTAATATAACTCTAAAAAATCTATATCTTAGGAGAGTGCTTCCAGAGAGTAGACTTAGTGTTTGTTTTGGATTCATCTACAAGTGTGGGAAACGAGAAAAATGTTGGATTTTGTGAAAAAATTCCTACAAGCTGCCAACATTGACAGAGGTGAATTTAGAGTTGGTATTGCGACGTATAGTACATGGGCCAGAATAGAATTTAATTCGAAAGACTACACCAATAAAAATGATTTGTTTAAAGCTGTTGATAATATTTCCTGGCAGTACGGCAGCACAAATACAGCCGATGCGTTACTCATAATGCATGATACCATGTTCACAGCCATAAATGGCGACAGGGCAGATGTACCAAACATTTGCATTGTTATCACTGACGGTGTGTCAAACATTAACTACGGTAGAACCATACCCGAAGCTGAAGCTGCCCGCAAGAAGGGTATTCATATCTATGCTGTTGGTATCGGTCTACAAGATTTAAATGAAGTTAACGGTATCGCAAATAAGCCATCCAGTGAAAATGCCTTCTCTGTAAACAATTTTGATGAATTAGAAGGTCTAAATGAAACAATATTTGAAGCAGCATGCACAGGTTTGTATGTTTATGTATGTTTAAAGATACTAGTATATAGAAAGAAGCTCTATTTATAGGTAATTTCTTTTTAAGGTCATGCGCAACGTACATATACTGTACAATGTACCTTTTCCGTTGATGATTTTTCAAGATAATCCTAATTTAAAATCACAGAACTATCAGATGTTCCTAGACAAAAAAAAAATCAGTAGACATCACCAGAACGTTTTAACAGATATCAAATGATGAAAACTCTGGTGTTTTTGTTTTAAAAAAGATTAACAAAGATATAGTTTTAGCTGGTGTTTCCTCATAATTTGAATCAGAGGAGGTACAGCATCAACACGCATCACAGAAGTCCTTCAATTATTGGAACATTTAAATTGTACAGGGAATAAAAAATAAAGTTCAAAACTATGTTGCGAATGTCCTTAAAAGAAAAAAAATCTTAACTGTTGTCTACGTAATAAATACCAGCTTAGTCTGAATTACCACCAAATTTATTCAATGATCAAAATTAGGATTACCTATAAAAGCTGTTGAATTAGCAGAAGGAAGTTGTCGTCTTAAAAAGAGGTGATTAAGTTAATGTACGAGAAATAATATTTATTGTTCTGTATTGTACATTTATTTATTTTCACTATGGAGATTGTGTTTCTTTAGAAGTTTTATCTTAAGCTATAAAATAACTTTGTTAGCCGAGATAATAATTACAGCTGCTTCGAATCATGTATATATATCCTATCGTTTTGGACAGGAAAGTAAAGGATTTTTTTCAATTAATGGATAACCTATTATTATTTTAAGTAAACAATGGCGTAATATTAGCATTTTGATATTATTCATTCCTTAACCATGCTGGTAGTGATAATCTAAAGATAAATTTTGAATTATATATAACGAAAAGTTGCATTGTCTAAAAACTTGTACTACAATAAAGCTATAGCATTTATTTAGAAGTTCCTGCCAATTACACAAGAATCTATGGACATTCAATTCATCTTAGGGAATATTTTAAGACAAAGTTTTTCTTTGAAAGTCTACTTTTTTCGAATCCCTCATTAAGTTTTTAAAGAGTGAGGGATCTAAAACAAGCGAGGTAAATTCAAATGGAAGGACTCGGAGAGTTAGAAAACTTTTTTTTTTCTTCAAATCATTGACTGAATACTAATTCCCATTAAAGACAATTCGGTGTTATTGCTTACTATCTGTTTACTATGTAAAATGTTGAACATTCCTTCTGTAATTTATTCGTTTTCCTTTTTAACAAACTCGACATCTACAGGTATGTATTTCTTCCACATTCGTATCTGTATTAAAGCTCTGTATTTGTCTCATCTAACATATTTCAAAATACACTGGTCAAGAATTCCTTGCAAGCCTGTATTTTTAATATTTCAAACTTATCTTTGTAGATTGTATATAACTTTTTCAGACAACCTGACATTACTAACGAAGTGATAATCAAAATGGCATAGTCTATAGTATTTTAATTCTAGCCATGCAATTAAGAATATGTAATATTCTTACGTGTTTACATCTTAAATTATGTCGATTTAACTTGAAATTCTAAGGTTCATTTGTTTAACTCTGTAACAGGAGAATCATGGGAGAGGATGTAGATGAACTGATGTTTTTAAGTTTGATTGAAAATAGGATAAAAGGATAAAAAAGCTATCCAACAAAAAAATTTAACTCAATTTTTCTGTGTTATTTTACTTTACTTTTGTCTTGTATATCACTAATAAAGCTTAAAGGTGCTTGGACACAGATTTGAAGTTAATATTTTTTTCAAATTTTCTGTATAATTTCATGACTTGTATGTTGCTATAGCATTTCATACTAAAATATAATAAAAATCTTATTTCATCTCGAAGTTAATAAAACTTCTATTTTCTGGACGCGTTTGATTGACACATCCTTGTGCTTTCACATATTTTAATTTTATTCTTAATACTTAAGAAAAGTTGGAATTTTATTGCGTATTAATGAAAAATATTAAAACTATAACCCAGAAAATTCAGAGTAGAAATGTTCGAAAGCAAAATCCACTCACAGTATTGTAAGTCCGTGCTCAGTGGTGTGTGCAGAGTTTAACTATTGAACACAACCGGTGAATCGTATACATTAACAATAACAGCTCGTGTCCTGTTTACAAAAACAGTTTACGTTTCACGGGTGTGTTCAATTTGTTAAACTCTGTACACATCATAGAGCACGGACTGACAATACTGGTGAGATGGTTTTGCTTTCGAACATTTCTACTCTGAATTTTCTGGATTATAGATGTAATATTTTTCATTTATGCACAACAAAATCGCTTCTTTTCTCAAATGTTAAGGATAAAGTTAAAATTTGTGTAAGTGCAAAGATGTGTTAATCAAACGCGTCCCGGAATTCGTAGTTCCAATAATTTTCAGATAAAATAAGTTTTTAATTATATTTTCGTGTGAAATGTTATTGCAATATATAAGTCGTGATATTATACAGAAAATCGGAGAAAATATTAAGTTCTAATCTGTGTCTAAGCACCTTTAACAGTCGCTATTTCTTTGTAAAGTACAAATCAGGAGAAATTGTTGATATTTCAGAGCTTATCATCAAGGAACATCACGTTTAATATTTTTTAACCCGGGTGTAGCCATCTGATCGTCATTCTCTCATTTTTCATCTAAGTGCTCATAAATTTTACCTGGTATGCTTTATTCAATTTTTTTTTTCTTATCTGCTTTTTTCCTTAAAGTAACAACAGTTGCTACGCCTTCGATGACTTTGAATTGTAAGTACTTGTTTATGTTACGAGTAAAATATCTTAAACAAAACTTCAAATTGATATATATTTTTGACATGCACGTACTGAGTATGTATTCCGTACATAGCCATTAATGCTCATCATTCTCTCATTTTACATCTAATGGTTCATGACTTTCATAGCGTTATCAAATTATAAATCTTTCCACTAAGAATATTCATTTGGACCATGAAACAAAGCGTTTTTTGTTTTGTTTTGTTTTGTTTTGTTTTTTTTTTTTTTTGGGGGGGGGGGCATCCTGGAGAAAATCAAAACAATATTAATTTTTCACAAGAGAGATGTGGATAAACATTCACTTCTCATGGCCACATCTAAGACATTTGAAGAAGATCAATATACAAACATTCTACGTCAAAAACGTTTTAATTGTTTACAAGTACAATGCACTAGTGTTTTAACTCCAAAGATAACGTTACTATTTGTTTCTACATCAGCTTGTGGCTTTGAGAAGGTGGATTTGGTAATTATCCTGGATTCCTCAACGAGTGTTGGTCAATACAACTTCCAAACAATGATCAATCTAAAAAATACCTACATGCAATACAAATCTGGACATAAAAACGTACCACTTGAAATTCAGAGGTGGTATCAGGTGCCTAGAAGGTGAAAGCATCCTCTGTCGACCGGAGCCATATGCATTGATCATTGTCCGAATAATCTGAACTCATATCTAATATAAAAACAATGTCTTGTCTAACAAAATGATATGAAATATAATAATCAAAGTACGACCCATTAGAGGTTTTTATTTGCAAACAAATTCATTATCACGACGCTAGGATTTGCAAAATGCTGACTCATAATGAGATTGCTGAAATCTCTGAAACATCAACTTATTTGGAAGACGCCTACATTGGTTTAAAAATTGATCGTCTGTTATAATGACCTTGTTAGAATAAAACATATCAAGGGTCGTATTTAGGCTGGAGTGTTTTGGCTGTCAGGTTTCATAAAACTTTTTAGGCCTTTTTTTTTAAATACTAAATTTGACTACGGAATATTCTGTCTACCAGATCAATACAAAGGGCTCAAGACGGCTGTAACAGGTTGATAGGGTATATTTACTCCTTCTAGTAACCTGATCACACCTATGGAAATTCCGATGCCCTGAACACAGATTTGTATTGTTTATAGATTTTTTGAGACTGCTCATTGGCGTCACCTATTTCATTGTAATACTTTCATGTTAAATACTAAAATCTCATTGCATTTAATGATTTTCATTATTATATTTTTAGGTCACCTGAGTCACTCAGGTGACCTATTGCTATCCGTTCTCGTCCGTCGGCGTGCGTCGTGCGTTAACATTTGAAAATTTTTAGCTTCTTCTCCGAAACCGCTTAACCAATTTCAACCAAATTTGACATATAGCATGTATGGGTAAAGGGAAAAAAAATTGTGAATTTTATGGCCCCTGCCCCCCTGGGGCCTGAGGGGTGGGGCTAAAACCACCAAAAATAATGCAATCTTTAAAAATCTTCTTCTTCTTTACTCCTGGACATCAAGCAGTCAAACTGTTGGCATCATTGTAATAAACATTGAGCCCTCTATCAAAATTGTGAAATTCATGGCCCCAGGGTCAGGGGTTCTGGTCCCAGGGTGGGGCTCTATTGATCATATAGTGAAAGTGCATTTATTCTTTGAAAATCTTCTTCTCTGCTCCTGGGTATTAAATAAAGTAACTAAGTACATAGTTAGGATGAGCAAGAGAGGGTCTTCCGAAATTGTGAAATTCATGGCCCCAGGGTCAGGGGTTCTGGTGTTTGGGCGGGGCTCTATTGAATATATAGTGAAAATGCATTAATTCTTTGAAAATCTTCTTCTCTGCTCCTGGGTATTACATAAAGTAACTAAGTACATAGTTATGATGAGCAAGAGTGCCTCTTCAAAAATTTTGAATTTCATGGCCCCAGGATCAGGGGTTCTGGTGTTAGGGCGGGGCTCTATAGATTATATAGTGAAAAAGCATTTATTCTTTGAAAATCTTCTTCTCTGCTCCTGGGTATTAAATAAAGTAACTAAGTACATAGTTATGATGAGCAAAAGTGCCTTTTCAAAAATTTTGAATTTCATGGCCCCAGGGTCAGGGGTTCTGGTGTTAGGGCGGGGCTCTATAGATTATATAGTGAAAAAGCATTTATTCTTTGAAAATCTTCTTCTCTGCTCCTGGGTATTAAATAAAGTAACTAAGTACATAGTTATGATGAGCAAAAGTGCCTTTTCAAAAATTTTGAATTTCATGGCCCCAGGGTCAGGGGTTCTGGTGTTAGGGCGGGGCTCTATAGATTATATAGTGAAAATGCATTAATTCTTTGAAAATCTTCTTCTCTGCTCCTGGATATTTAATAAAGTAACTTAGTACATAGTTATGATGAGCAAGAGCACCTCTTCCAAAATTGTGAATTTCATGGCCCCAGGGTCAGGGGTTCTGGTGTTAGGGCGGGGCTCTATCGACTATATAGTGAAAATGCATTAATTCTTTGAAAATCTTCTTCTCTGCTACTGGAGATTATTTAAACAAACTAAGTGCATGGTTATGATGCATAAGGATGCCTTTTTAAAAATTGTGAAATTCATGGCCCAAGGGTCAGGGGTTCTGGTGCTAGGGCGGGGCTCTATTGATTATATAGTGAAAATGCATTGATTCTTTGAAAATCTTCTTCTCTGCTACTGGAGATTATTTAAACAAACTAAGTGCATGATTATGATAGGCAAAGATGCCTCTTCCAAAATATTTAAATATATGGTCTCAGTTTTTGGGGTTCTTGAAGGGGGGGGGGGGCTCTATTGATTATATAGTGAAAAAGCATTAATTTTATTAATTAATCATTAATTAATCCTTTCTGCTCCTTAGTGTTGAGCTGATAAATAAATTGCTTAGCTATGATGAAAATAGGAGCTTCGAACAGAATTTTTAAAATCTTGTGGTCCTAGGGTCAGGGGTTCTGGCATAACGAGGGGGGGGGGGGGGGGCTTTTGATAATATAGTGGAAAAGTGTTAATTCTTTGAAGTCCATAGTTATGATGATTTGGTCTTGGGTTCTGGTGTTAGGGTAAGGCTTTGTTGAATCTGTAGTGAAAATGCATTGTACCTGTGAAATTCTTCTCTGCTTCTGGGCATATCGGAAGCGAACTGAGTAATAGTTTAAATGATATAAGTAAGCTTATTTCTACCAGATTTTTGAACATCTGAACCATTTGTCTAAGCATTCTGGTCCTGGGCAGGGCTCTATAATTATATCATATCATAATTAATCACTGAAAATAATGTATTTGAAAGGTTAATAGAATAAGATAATTATGCAAGAATGTTTATCGTATAATTCAAAAAGTACTTTCTTAGTTTTAATAATCAGGTAGACCTGTAAGTAATAGATAAATAAAAATGAGACAAAATAACTTATCTTATTAAAAGTTCTTCAAAGACCATAAGAGAGGTCAATGGTAGAGGTCTTAATATGGGTTTAAAATAGTACAGAAGCACTAATAGTTTGTTAATAGTCTGCATGGTGTTAAGTGGGGGATAGATTAGACCTTAATTTATGAGTTGATACTGAATACTAGACTAATTATTTTGTTGATTTTGATCTTCCTACTTCTCTTGCTTTAGGGCAACAAAGCTTCATTTATCAGTGTATTTAACTTCTAAATTGTTGTATTATACTCAGGTGACCGATAAGGCCCTTGGGCCTCTTGTTGTGTAAATTGTTTGTTTGTAATTTAACGTCCCTCTCGAACATTTTTCACTCTTATGGAGACGCCACCAATTGAGGGCAGCAAATTTAGACCTATACTCGGCACTCAGGGCCATTAAGCAGTGAGGGATCTTTTTCATGCCAGCACCTCCTGCGACGGACCTCAGTTTATACGGTTTCCGGACCGGTCTCTTCGTTCTGCAGTGGTTCGTGTAAATAAATTGATTTGATTTGTCAGAAAAAAGTTGTTCAACAACACTGTTACCGTCTAAATGATGAAACCACACCCTCCGGCGCGATATAACTTACCAACCCTTAACATTGCCTGGCGACGAGTAATATTTCAAAAACACTGACTGCGTGAAATTATGCACGCGCGCTTTGCTTTCACTTGTATTTGTATAAAACATTCAGTATAATATAATAAATACTGCATGCAGTTGAGGATAATATGGAAAATTTTCACCCCTCGAAAACCATTGTCAGCCTTGGCTGCGCCTCGGTTGACAATGATTTTCTTGGGATGAACATTTTTCATGTTACCCTCAACAACATACCGTTTCTATATAATGTTGCCCTCAGCGTAAGCAACATACATTGCAACGGCTAACAGAAAGATAATACTTTCCTGTTAAATACTAAAATTTTAGTGTTTGGATGACTTACTTGTTATTTTTCCTAAGCATTCACAACACACTTTGCAATGGGTAACACAACGATTATGTCATATGTGTGTAGTTTATGCGCATACGGTTCTCCTAGATTGCTCAAAACGCCAGTTGTATGTTTGATTGATTATGTGTTGTTTCACGTCCCATTCGAGAATTTTTCACTTTATCTTGCCAATGCCTACCATAAGTCCATAACACGGGGTCTCGGTTTTTAAGGTCTCATCTCAAAGACCCGTGAATTTCACCTCTAATGCTGGGGGCAGGGGGTCATTATTCGTTTTTACACCGGCCGCTCGGCAAAGGAAGTCACTACCTATGTTTACGTCTTAGGTTTGACGCAGCACGGCAAACGAAAATCAAACCGGGTCCTCATGATCAAGAAGCGAACGCCCCAGTTGTTAGCTGCAATAATGTAGCCCTCTCCACTTCTTTGGTGGGAGAGAGCTAAAACTTATTTTTTAATATTTCTTACCTGAAGTCCAAAAATGGTTTTAAAAGACATAACCGTATAAACCGAGGCCCCGTGTCGCGTCTTTTTTTTTTTAGGACAAAAGATCCCTCACTGCTCAATGGCCGTAAGTGCCGAGTATAGGACAAAAGTTTGCAGCTCTCCACCGGCAAGTGGTGGCGTCTCCATATGAGTGAAAAATTCTCGAGAGAGACGTTAAACAACATACAAAGAAACAAACAAAAGACATAAATTGGCCCCAAAATATAATGAATAGTTCATATATCAGTTATTTTTTGTGTATGTCAGCATCACAACTTGAATTTATCCGCCATATGTTTACTGGCCTTGATCGATTTTATTTCGGGATGGCCAATAAGAATTCGGGATCTAAGGAGCGGATTTATAAAGTAATCTCCTTATTTTAAGCATCAATATTATTATTTATTACAAATATCCACATTTGATTATGAACTTTATGAATAGCATGTATCAACGCACTGAAGATCACTTAATTTACGCGATACCTTATTTTCGCGAGATTGTTATTTGGTATTTATAAGCGAGAAACAAAATTTCCACGAATTTCTGTCCTTGTTCTATATAATCTTTTGTAATTTAAATATACGCGAGAATGAAATTTTTGCGAGCAGAGTCTCGCGTAATTAAGCAAAAATAAAGTTCTCGCGAACAAAAGTGATTTACAGTATATATGTAGCCTATATGTACAAAATAAATACAAAAGCGTCGGTAATTGTCTTATACTCCTAGCCTTTTGTTTTTGATTTTTGGAGCTATAGAATGTTGCATTCAAAATAAAACTGGAACACTAACACAATTATCATATAACAGATTATTTTGTGTCTACTTTACAAAGCTGACGAAGATAAAGTAACAACTAGGTCACGACCTAAACCTACAATCCCCATCAAACCGACCAACACCACTACGCTTGCTGCCACAGTCTCCACCAAATTAGCCACCACTACTTTACCTCCACCTTCAATCTCCACCAAATTGACCACCACCGCTATTATGCTTCCCCCTGGAATCTCCACCAAAACCACTACCACTTTGCTTCCTTTGACAATAAGTATGATTTTGTACTAAAAAAATATTTTTATAAAGAATTCTTTTCGTGTTTAAAAAAAACTCTGTATTGTGAAATATTTATTTTAAAGCAATGCGATTTTTGAAATCCAAAGTAGATCTTTAGCAAATTAGTGATTGTGAGGGATTACACCTAACTGTAAAAAACCCCACTGAAAATATATAACTGGATACATCAAAAATATCTTGCTCTCTACATATGATTTCGATACTTTTCATAGAGATTCAATATTGAGTCTTTAGAATCTTAATCATAAAGAAAATTTACTTTGAACCTGTATTTGAACCACTTTGAACTTCAATATATTTATATATTATATTATCATTGAGTTGGCTGTACAAATGCACGAGCTTTCGAGTGCATTTTTACAGCCTTCGAGTGCCTATATTTCCCAATATAAGTTCAATAACTTCGTTATCATATTATAATAGCTAAAACTTTTCCCATTGATTGATTTATTTAAATCAACTCAATTAAATAATTCAAAATTAGTGACAATTTCTCAGTATCGGTATTCATATTAAAACTACTATATCAGCGTCTTTCCTGTAAATGTTCACAGACATAGATAGGTGGGGAACAAGAAAGAAAATTTTTAGTTTCACAATATTGCAATGGCAAAAATTAGATGAGGTCTTAATTAACACAAACGCAGCTCAATCCAAGGAATTGTCAGAGTCAATTTTGTATACTTTCGCCCACAAACAACTCAACTACTCGGAAGGTCACAAAAATTTACAGTTTAGACACTCGGATCTTTTATTTCATAAATGCAACGTTTTCTTTTATGTGCTTGCCTGTATAGTAAGAACAGTTCTAGTTTACTCAGAGTCCTCATAACAACTGAGTGACAATCAAAGATTACAATGTACTCAAACATTATCTAAATCAAGTACTAGTAATGATAATTTCTAGTAATGAAACTTGAGAAACAAAATTTATATTTATTTCAATATCATCTTTGTCTTGTTTTATGTAAAGACAATGAGTGAAAATAAATTGAATCATGGTATCCAGGTGCCCCAAAAATAAGAATTTGAAAAATTGATTGCATGCAAATGGATTTTACCTAAGTACTTTACAATCACACGCTTACTTTAAACCCTCCCCCCCCCCCTTCAAAAAAAGAATAAATCATTGAATAAAGTATACCAGTATTTTGTCTTAATCATGGGGAGGATTAATTCAATATTGTTTTCTTTGTAGTACAAGAGAAGCTTTTAAGGGAAACAGGAACTGCGCTAGTGGCTGTTGGATCTACATTTCTCGTACTCAGTGCCGTAGTTATTGGTGTAGCTGTGTTCTTGTTCTACAAAACCGTAAAACAACATATGTAATTGACCTGGGAGCTATGTGAGAAATTGATTCTTTTGCTTCCAGAACCATGAGGTTGTTGAGTAAGGGTAATAGGAGTAATTTGCAATTCTTACACTTTATTTATTTACAGAGGATGTTGTAAGAAGAGTTCTCGAGAAACATGCGTTGTAAGTATTAAAAATTTAAAATTTTATGCGTGAAATGACTGAAATATTATTTGAATTTTGCTCTGCATGTAGGCAGTTTCTAAAACGAGGTAGGTTATTGACAAGCAGGTTGATGGAACAAGAGTGTCAGTTGTCTCGTTTGAAGTCATCACTCTGTAAGTTCTGTGCTCGGTGCAGTGGTCTTGTCAGCGAGAGCATTCTTTCATTGGGTCATGTGCTGACTGACGTTTTTCATACAAATTGTTAGGCTATTATTTAAACACTGAATTGTCGACGGATTTTTACGTTATTTACCGGTCATGTCAAGGAGTACACGGCGGGTGTGACTAGTCGGCAGGGTTGCTTACTCCTCCATGGCACCTGATCCCACCTCTGTTTTTGGAGGTCCGTTTTCCCTCTGCTCCCGATTGGTATTGTTTTAATGGACTTTCAGGTTGGATACTGCTCGCTATCTCCATATTTCATCGAGAACCAATTAAAGTCATTGTCACTAAACATTAGAAACATTCTCAAAATGGCAAGTTTATTTATTTATCCATCTATTAATACTCTATGTCAAATGAATATAGGAATGCACCTGGAGGGGTCAACCATACTGCAGTAGACCTAGGGACGTCTTCAGAGTTTTAGAAAGGCCGGATTCATTTTAATAATAAAATGAGAAAGTGTAAGTAATTTAACAAATCAACTTCCAATGCAATTTTAAACTATGGACCATTTTTCGAAGTTTTACATACAATAATATGCTACCCAATAAACCAAGAAATTGAAGAATATAAAACTGAGGGGCAAAATGTTTTGCTTTTCAAATATTTCATGCAATATCCTTTAGTCATTTAAAAATGAAAAGAAAATTGGGATGGCCTCCATTATAGTGAAAAGGGGCATATCAATCACAAAATTAAGACTACAAATTTTATCTAAGATACATTACTTCATAAGTCGCAGTAGGTTAGCATATCAACAAATGATTGTAATGCTGTATATTTTTTTCTGAAAATTAAATGCTTCTAACATTATAAAAGAATTTTCTCTCCATTCTTTATTTTATTTAACACACAACATTGTTGTACGTGGAAAGGAAATGGAGGTTTAAAAAGGCGCTTAATAACAAAACTAAGTTACATGTAAAAAAGTAAATTATTTCTTCTTGACTCATAGAATGTTTGTTAAAAACAAGATTTGAAACACTGATGCCCCCGAATGGCAGCTAATACGAAGTTAGTTTCTCAAATGCAACTCAAACTCCAAGGTCAAGTGAAAAAAATGTTGTTACCCAAAGAAATGACTTGTGTCAATGGATATACCTGGTAAATATGAAGGCCAAGCACCAGGCATTCAAAAGTTATGGTCAAGATTAAGGTTAATTTTTTCTAAATGTGGGTTAAACTCTTACTCTCGGTCAAAGTCAAAGGGTAAAAATTAATGGTACGGAAGAGAAGACCTTGTCATAAGAAATACACATGCAAAATATAAAAGCCCTAGCACCAACTGTTCAAAAGTTATGGCGAAGGTAATAGTTTTTCTAAAGTAGGTCAAACTCCAAGGTAAAGGTCAAAAGGGTAAAATTGTTTGTATTCGAAGAAAGGTCTTGTCAAAAGAAATATACCTGTGAAATTTGAAAACCCTTGTTCTAACTGTTTAAAAGTTATGACCAAGGTTAGATTTTTTTAAAAGTGGCTCAAACTCTAAGGTCAAGTTCAAAGATAAAAATATTTACACCAATGAAGAGGTCTAGATGTTGTCCCGATGAATACACACGTGAAATATGAAAGCCCCAGCACAAAGTTTTCAAAAGTTATGACCAAGATTAAAGTTGGGAAAATTATTGCAAAAGTGGGCCAAACTCAAAGGACAAGTCAAGAGGTCAAATATGTTGGTACCCAAAGGAAGATCTTGTCAAAAGGAATAAACTTGTTAAATATGAAAGTCATAGTTCCAACCAATCAAAAGTTATGGGCAAGGGTATTGTTTTTTGCGGACAAACAGACAGTCGGACGGACAGGGCAAAAACTATGTACCCCCAAATCTTCGATTATGGGGGCATAAAAAACAATCTACTCCATGCATGCATGTATTTAAGTTATCAATAAAAAGGGTAAATTAAAATTTTCAAGGAGTCTAAATGCGTTTACATTTAGTTGCAGTGGATTTTCAAACTCTGCAAGATGTGTTTGTAGAAGACTGAAGCCCCCATATGTCAGCTTATGGAAGAGCTCGAGGTTAAAGTTTCTCAAATGCAAGTAAAAATCCAAGGTCAAAGTCAAGAGATGGAAAAATGTTGTAAACGAAAGAAAAGTCTTGTTTCAGGGAATATAACTGTGAAATATGAAAGACCTAGCACCAAACATTGAAAAGTTATGGCAAGGTTTAAAGAAGGTCAGATTTTTTTGAAAAGTAATTTAAATGTCAAGGTAATTAAGACGACATGGTCAAAATTATTGGTGCCCAAGGAAAGGTCTTGTTACAAGAAATACACTTGGGAAATATGAAAGCCTTATCACCAACCATTCAAAAGTTGTGGACAAGGTTAACGTTTTTCAAAAGTAGGTCGAACTCCAAGGTAAAGGTCATATGGTCATAATTATTGGTATCCAATGGCAAGGAATACACCTGTGAAACATGAAAGCCTAATCAACTATTCATAAGTTTTGGACAAGAATAAAGTCTTTTTAAAAGTGGATAATACATCATGGCCAAGGTCTAAAAATCAAAACTGTTGATATCCCATGGAAGGTCTTGTAACAAGGAATACTAGTACACCTGTGATGTAGGAAAGCACTAGCACCAACTGTTCAAAAGTTACAGCCAAGGTTAAAATTTGATAAAATTTTGCAAAAGTGGGTCAAACTCATAGTTCAAGATCAAGAGGTCAAATATGTTGGTACCCAAAGAAAGATCTTGTCACAAGGAAAACACTTGTGAAATATGAAAGCCATAGTTCCAAGCAATCATAAGTTATGGGCAAGGTTAAAGTTTTTGCGGACAAACAGATTAACAGACAAACAGACAGACGAACGGACAGGACAAAAACTATATGCCCCGAATCTTCGATTATGAGGGTATAAAAATTAAAGTTAGACACAACTGATGAATCTCTACTTAGAAATTGGGAATATCTTAAAATAAATTATGTTGCAAAGTTTTTATTAATCAAAACTTCTTAGAAATGCCTGAATGAGTGAGCTTTAAAAATGCACAGTCCAGACCTTTGGGGGTATTCAAAAATAGTGATTTATTTTATCGCAATTTAATGTCATTTTTCAAAAATGTGCCTTTATTGTATTCAATTGTGATGGCAACCAAGGGTACTGTGACGCGTCTGAAACAAGTCTGCGTGAAAACCCAAATTGGGCTTCGTTAAAGCGATTCCAGCTTGAATTTCAAAATTTATGAGCCAAATCAAATTTGTTTGCTATTTTAATCAATTTGTAGCCTCTACTACCGATGTTTGATTTACTTTAGATGTTAATTTCTAGATACTTTTGCAGATACATGTATATCGATCTAGGAGTAAGCATATTGACCGAGGACAAAGTGTAAGAACAATATGCTTTTCTTTGTTCGATGTACATGTTTTTATATAGATTGTACTAAATCAAAGAGTTACATATGCTTATGATTTTTTACTTCAAAAGATTATTTATAGATTTTTTTTTAAAGATTTTCAATTCTTTAATTTTTTTTACTAAAGAAAACAAATATTGTTTTCACTTTATAATGCGTGTGGGCTTCTTCTTATTAGTCGTGGTATCCTTCACTTATTAAGGTACATCGATCCTCTGATAAGAGAGATGATTCTAAGATATGAATGTCTAATATTCCTCTAAAAGTTTATTAAGTGACGAAAAGGTTTTACCGACTTTCACCTACATGTAGTTTCATTGTGTTTTTCATATTATCATTACATGTTAAATGAAAAATCAAATTTTTTTTCTCTTTGTAGATAAAGTTAGAAAACCAACAACCTGGATTCCATAGTCTCAATAAAAGTATTAAGACTTAAATGCTTTCCATGCTTACTAATATTATGTCAAATATTCTGCAATTAATATAAAATGTAGTAATTTTTGATTTTTTGGAAAGAATTGGTATCACTTTGATAACGATTGGACATAGAATTTAGGGATTTATAATTAATGATTACTAATGTAAATTTATGTGAAATGAGATGCAAAATTAAAAAAAAAATACTTGTAGCGGAAAGTATAACGCCAAAATATTCCATGTACGTGCAAAAAGTGTTTAGCAAATAAACTGAAGAACAAATGACGTAAAAATGAAACCCTTTATAGAAAATATCAAACAAACAACCTCTCCCTGTAAGACTGTGTTTATCTCTAAAATCCTGTTTTCCGTCAATCAGTTACCTATTCCGTACCATAACACCGAACAACAGCATGCTGATTTACGTAGACGCATGTAAATGAATTTACAAACCATGTTACTTAGATTCAAACTTTATTAATCCTTATCAGGGCAAATTGTATACTATCTTGTGTGATACTGAAAACACCACCAGCCTTTTTTTTTCAATTCGCTGTAAAATAATTTCTTTTTAGTGAAACATTGTAAACAATTCCAATCTTTCGTAATTCTCTGTGAGATAAATACTATCCAGCGAAACATTGTAAACACTTCCGTTCTTTTGTAATTCGCTGTACATGTATATTAATCATTATATATGACAGTGTAAAAGAACAGTACACATTTCTTTATAAGACAGGACTTGTTCAAGAGAAAGCGTTGTGAAGAGAGCCCTGTCTTATGTAACTATACAAGTAGCAAATGCTTTTTTTGATGTGCTCTTTGAAAAATGTTAAATATAGAGTATAAGAAATGGTGAGTAACAC